GGACTTTCTACCACCGAACTCCGCTGTCAGCACAGAAGCCCAGTGTGCTCTGAGGACCGGATTGCTGCAGCTCTAAGAGAGAAACTCGGGAAAATCTATTTCCTCCACGGCAGTGCTCGCCCACACTTTTCGAAGGAGATTCAAAAGAAGCTTCAAAGCCTGAGATGGCATGTAATGGCCCACCCACCGTATTCATTAGACCTAACTCCAACGGATTATCATCTGCTCCTGTCGCTGTCGGACCATCCGAAAAATAAGAAGTTCGATCATGTGAATCAACTCGAGACGTACATTGACGAATTTTCCTCCTCGAAACCTCAGGAATTCTACGCAAGCAGGAACCACAAGTTGCCTGGTGAATGGCAATACCTTGTCGATAATGATGGTGCATATATTTGTTAATTGTTTGTTATTGTGAAGGAAAAAAATAAATTCGAAAAAAAAATTGCAAAAGGCGCAAATACTTTTCCGACAACCTAATAATTTTTTCATGTTTTCAAGTATCAGCTGAGCTTACAGCCTTCTAGAAAATCTTGAGGCATTGTGGTCCAGGAATCGTTCATTTCCAACTTATGAAAGGCGCGGTCGCCAATGGGTTAATGAATGAACGGAATGGAATGTGGAAGTTCTCTCCTATAGATCTTAACCGTTTATATTGGACTGCAGAAGTGCTCGCTGCTAGCTGCTTGATCATACTAGAATTCGATACTAATCGTCTTCATTTGAGTAGGAAAACCATGACTGATTTTCCACTCCCATGATTGATTATGGAGTTTTCTACCGGTCCGTTTGCCGAGTTTTGGGGGCGAAATTCTGGCAGAAGCTTCAGAAACACAGTTGCACTCGACATATATACATATAGGTAGCTGCATGGAACTCCTCTGAAAACTTGTTCCGTCCAGCTACCTATAGACTGTTGTATCACGCAATGCGGCGAAATAACAGCCGTTAACAAAATATCAAGTCTCATGAAATCGTTTTCATCTCGTCAATGTGCCTTATCTGATCTATGACTTCACAGTCGTTGAAGTCCATCGTGTTTAACCAATTGTATCGTGGTTTAAGGGAGGGCAGTTGGGGCTGACTGTTATCTGATACATTTTCGATTATTAAAACGAGAATTTCGACTTCTACTGTTTGCTGTTGTAGCTTTCAGGTAATACTACGTGAGAAAGTAACACCTTAACAATTCGTACACCGCACCTTTTAGGAATGGGATTTGAAAGAGTCTTTACAAACCTTGTTGGTAGGAAAGCGATTCAGAGAGTTGCCCTGTGCCTTGTTAGCAGCTTTGTCGTGCTCTTTGCACAGTGTGTGAACACCCCTTTTGCAGATATTATCCTTACTACATATAAACGGCAAATGTCCGTTTGTCTGTTCGTCTGTTTGTCTGTAACACTATCTTATATGGTGCCGTTTGGAGATCAACTGAGGCAGCACAGACAGGTTGGAACAAGTGGGAAATGAGGTTGGAATAAGTAGGGAATGAGCCGGGCTCCTTAGGTACACGTGACCTAAGCTAGGCTCCGCCCACTAGGGGCGGGACTTGCGCGACCTCACCGGATTTCTGTAACTCCTTTGCTTCTGAGCCTAGACTATTCAAATTTGGCAGAGATGCAGGCGGCAAGATGGAGAAACTAATGACAGGTGGCAGGTGTAGGCTCCGCCCACTGGGGGCGGGGCTTCCTCAAAAATAGTCAATTGGACCTAATGCGTGAAAATTTGGCAGAGATGTAGGCGGCAAGATAGGAAAAGTAATGATAGGTGACAGGTGTAGACTCCGCCCACTGGGGACGGGGCTTCCTCAAAAATAGTCAATTGGACCTAATGCGTTAAATTTGGTAGAGATGGAGGCAGCAGGATGGGTAAACTAACAGTAGGTAACAGGTGTAGACTCCGCCCACTGGGGGCGGGGCTCCCTCGAAAATTGTCAATTTGGGCCTAATGCGTGAAAATTTGGCAGAGATGTAGGCGGCAAGATAGGAAAAGT